ATCCCCACCCCCTGCCCCACCTTGGGTTTTTTTGCAATCCCTTCAACAGATTATAAAGCAGTATCTGAAAAAATAGAGTTACTTTATTCCAACCCTGTTGCAAAGTAAACTACCGCTGCATAAGCTTGGTTAAGCAATGTAGTGTGCTAAGAAGTGAACACAACTCGATTCTCTTAAAGATTAACACCAAACAACTCCTTCCATTTGCTCACAACAGACCAGAAATCTTTATAAACATCACTGCAAAGGCTGAACTCAGAGTTTTAAACTTGGAAGGTGTGGGTAGAGTCTCATCCAAATGGCAGACTGAACTTGTTTTTTTAAGACAGTGCTGTACATGTTCTTTTAAAACCACAGAGGAATGACTGCTGGCAAAGCTTTCTCAAGGAAATAAAAAAAATAATCAAATAACTTGATCATAATTAGGCTTTTTATACAAATTCTCAAAGGTGCAGATAAATTATAGACACTATTCAGAAGTTAGCCAGAAGTAAGAGAGAAAAGACTTTTTTTTTTTTAAATATGAAGTCCATATAGCATACTACCCTCTATTTGTGTAGCATTCAGTCTCTGTAGGAGAGCAAAGAAAGCTTATTGTGAAAAATGAATGATTTTCACCTCTCTCCATAATTATTAAATCACAAAACTGCAATTAAAACCACTGCTTTCTTCTGCCTCACTAACACAGCCAGATCCTTAGTTATCCAAGTGCAGGGTATTGCCTGACCTCAGAGGATACCTTGTCTAAATCCCACTGCAACCCACTAGGCTGTGACCCACAGATGGGAGCTCTACAAAAGCAGCACAAACCACCCTGCAGTGAAGGGTTTCTTATCACAGGCCAGCAGCTGCTGAGCCCCCACAGCTTTCCAAAGGGTTGCTCCAGAGGCTGGATTTATCATTACAAAGCAGCATGTGGAGACCCCTTGCCAACACCTGGTCTGCCTGATAATTTTAGGCTGGCCTAATTGCAAAGGAATCAGCTGTCCCTCCAGACACAGGCATGGACAGAGCACACAACAGACACGACACATATGCAGCACAACAGATCATCTGCAGCTTCTTGCTCTTCTAACACTCAGCAAACTGAAATCCTGTGAGTATTTGGAAGCTTGACAGAAATGACTCATGCATCCATGTCCTTTGACCACAGGCTTTTTCCCCATGAACTTTTAAAATTTCCAAAGAGCCTGAGCAGTTTATGCAATTATGCATGGGTTTTGGAAGGCTCCACAATTGAGAAGCAGGGAAGAAGGTAAAGGGAAGCTACATTATTTAGTATTTATTTCAGCAAACACTAAACAAAAGCTTCAAGTTTTTTTGTCTTCTACAAAAGCTCCAAGTTTTTTGTCTTCTGTTTCTAGCAAAGGCAGCCCCAGGCTGCATCCATCACATCACTGTCTGTCAGATAAGGAAAACCATGCTAGTAGCTTTCCAGTCCCCTTACTTTTCCAGACTTTTCCCAAGTACATCTCTCTCTGAAAATACCCACAGCCTCATTTATCTCGTGTTAAATCAAAGCCCATCAAAATCCCAGACCAGTCACAAGCCATGGGCTGCAATGAGAGTCTTTCAAAACATCCAGCAGAATTGCAGGCCCATTCCCTGGAGTTGTGTGTGACAAGGCAACCATGTTGAGAAACAAAGTTCTAACTTGAACAATAAAACCAGAGGAAAGCAAAATATCTGCCTCATTCTCCTGAGACATGTTATTTTCTGGAAACCATGCCAGATCCCATTATTTCAGCAAAATCTTGCCCAGAATTTCAATTACCAGACAGCTTCACCCATAAGGCCTCACAAACATTCCTTCTTTCCCTCAAGAGTGCTTATCCATTTTTATCCAGCCCTTTTTCAGATACCACCACATCTTGTTTTAGGGATCCACACCTGCCAAATGATTTGATGGGACAGTAGCTATACATGAATGAATCCACACTTCACTGTCAGACAAAAATGTCTGGCTTGTAAAAATAAAAAAAAAAGGTACATTACCATTTGCTGAAATCAATCTGCAGAGAATGGTCAACAGTAAGATCAGTTGGGCAGGCAGGATTGACTTTCACTGGATCTCCTCCAGCATTTCTCACAGCTTCCCTCATGGCAGCAAAATCCACCATTGCTGGAATTCCCCTGACAGATGGAAAAACAAAATAGTAAAACATCATGAGACATTAACTCACTGAAATGCACAAACTTCTTTTTAATTTTATTTAAATCTAGAAGGAGCTGTATCCTATTTCAGAAAATATACCTGTTATTCTCTAGATTTTAAAGGCCTTGAACCATTTCTAAAGTTGCTGGAGTTGGTACACCCTCTCAATGAGCAACAGCTTGTCTGAAGGCAAAGTACCAAACAAGAACATGGGAGCATCTCAAAGATAACCACACTTCTCTTGTGTCTTGCTTTGCTTCTCAAGTCTGATGGTACTTCAGCACAGAAGGGATCTTTAGATACTCCTTACCTCTACAACAGAATCTTGCTATGCAAGCAAAGCTCATGCTATACATTTAACACCTTAGCATGTATCATTTGTCTAACAGAGCCATTTCTGAAGCTTGTAGCATTTCACAATATTCATATTACTGTACAAAATAGACAGAGGCAATGTTTATAGAACACAGTACTACGTAAATCTTGTTGGCTTTGCCTGCTAAGCAAATGTTACTGCATTTTTATTATCATCATAATTCCTTCTTTTAATTATCTCACTTCTTAATAAATATATAGTCAGCAAGACAGCTTAAATTGAATATTTGCAAACTGATGAAGGGCTGCCCTTTTAGCTATGCCACAGTCAAATCACAAAGAAGTTAACATCTTAAGAGGCTGCTTTTTCAATATATGTATTATTCATGGATTTGACTGGATTACTCAATGTGGAGTAAGCAATATCTAATCTTCAATTATCTCAAGGAAGAGCTATCAGTGACAGTGTGAACTCTCAACTGTCTGGCTACAGCCAAAACATCACCACTTCCACTTGTATTCTGGTTCTTATCCTGCAAAGTGTTCTTTGAAGGCCAGCAGTTTCAGCCTTGCCAACTTGCCCCAAAGCCAGAGTACCCTACAGAAACAACTCCTACCCTCACATCATATGGAATTATCGTGAGGAATCTACGGCACAGCAGAGGCAGTGCACAGGTTTCCACCTGGGTATCAAGAGGGGAGGTGTAATTTATTCTCACACCAAAGAACAGAACACAAAGGCGGTGAGTTTGCACAGGTTTTTTGGGGGTTTTGCGTACACATGCGCGCACACACACACACACTCTTACGTGAAGTCTTGAAGAACAACTCTGGCAGGACAGAAGGGCACTTCAACATAGTTCTGTTTTGTTTTCCAGTCCAAGATGTTCATAGCATCCGTTTCTTTCACTAAAAAGCCATCGCAGTTACGGACACTGGACTCAAACAAGACTCGGATGGAGTAAGGCAGAGTATCTGAGGTGAGGAAAGGAACAGACCCCATGAGCGCAGCACTTGCAGCTTACGGAGTATTTCAAAATCACAATCTCACATTTCTAAGGAATTCCACTTTTCTAGGGTTTGGAAGGATGAGAGCTTCAGGAGCCTGTTTTTCCAGTTGCCTTTCTGGTTTGATCTTGGTTTGATCTTCCCTACACAGTATGGAACAGAGAACTGCACAACGTACACATTGATGGATTACCCTATGGGATTTTCATGGGAGATCCCAATGGCTTGACCACACTGTTCTGACAGTACATAATTTTCAATAAGCAGTGATACAAAGACCAGAAACTATTCTACCATGTGCCCCTTTTAAGATTAACAAGCTTCATAAAATATAAAGAACATTTCATTAAATAAAACTTGACTTAGTTTGCTACTGATATGAATCAAGCAGCAGTTTCCTTCGCAGAAAAAAAAAAAAAGAGAAATGGAAATGAGAATGAAATAAGAGGGAAGAGAAAAAAAACCCAATGTCACTATTCACTGCAAACAAAATGACCACTAAAGAAAAGAAAAATCAAGATTGATTGTCATTTCTCCCCAAATCTCATTATTTTTAGCATCATTTAAGCAGGCAAACAGCTTCATAAAAACATGAGAAATCCTAAAAACGTTAGCTGGCGGAAGGTGAAACAATTAAGTTCAGGCTTTAATTAAAGTTTGGCTGTCTCAACCTAATCCAGTGGTTTGTTCACAAACTATTAATATAGAACTTGATGACTCTGTTCTCACCATGTCTTTCTGAGATAATATCCACTGTTATCTAGTTAGATAAGTCACTATTTTGAGTTTAAGATTTGAGTTAATTTGCATATAAAGATATCATCCCATAAGTCTCCTGAATCTTCATGCCACCACTCCCTCAATTTAAAAGCCAGGTTCCCAGAGAAGAACTTGTTTGCTTTCTTGTGGGTTACAAATCTCACTGTCCCAGGGGCAGCTCAGGACCAGCTCTGGAGGAGCAGCTGCTTCTCTCCATGAGACACCAGCAGTTCCTCTCTTCAAAACCATGTGCAGTTTGGGGCTTCCAGGATACAGGACAGCTCCAGAAATGAGATCACATCCAGCACATGGCCCTCTAGGAGGCTCTGGGACTGCTGTGCCTGGCACACAGGAGCTGCAGGGAGAGCTGGTGACCAGGCTGCAGTGCCCAGCACCTCCCAGGGACTGCAGCCAAGGGGAGCCCTGACTTAGCAGCAGTGCCCATGAAAGCACAGGAGGAGTCCCAGGGTGCAGGAAGGGACACTGGGACTGGGCACAAAGGAAAAGCAGCTCAAAGGGGCACGGTTAAGCACAGGAACATGGAACCTCAGTCCTCCCAGACTAGCACAGCTTAACCATGGAAGATTCCCCATATCAGCTCCAGCCTCAGCAAGAGCCTGGTCTAGATCTCCACATGTCCTCTCTGCCCTAAATCCTCTTGAACTCTTCTCATTTTCCCCATAAGTCTTAAAACACTAGAAAACTGGCAACTAAATCAATTAACATTTACTTTAGTAATCTGATTAATATTAACTGGCAATTAGTGTCAAATTACAGCCAGAAGCCCCAGGGCAGAGGGCAAACAGGTAAACCTCCAACTGTTCTAGCAACAAATGCAATGAGCAATTCCAGATGCTGGATTTGCTACCAGTGCTGCCCCACACTGTGTCTAGATGTTATTTAGTATTTTGCTACCTTGAAGTTAATATGAGGCTTCCAACTTCTGCACAGAAGTTTCTGTTGGAAGACAAAGACCCTCTTAGTGCAGTCTGTTTAGACTCCTGAGAATATCTTCAGGAATACCCATTGCTGCTGCAAGCTTTATGGTACATTTTAACAGAAAGTTGTATATTGTTGTTTTATTTCCACTCCTGTCATGAGGCTTTTCACAAAACTGCTGGGAACTGCCTGGTTTTGTTACTAACACAGCACTGCTGCTCTCTGGACCAAGCCAGCAGCAGAAGTACTGTTTCCTCCATGTGTGCTTATCTGAAAGATAGATTTTGTTACTACAAGCAAGGGAAATGTGCAAGAGCACACAGCTGTTGCACAAAGTTTCAGCAGACACTGTGCCCCCCTCTCTCTTCTCTTTAAACAACATGGAGTTAATAACTGCGGTCAAATATGGGTTTAAAGTGAAATATCCACTGATATGTTTTTTATTCAAGAAGCATATCACAAATTCTGTGAATACTGAAGAATTCAGCCCTTGCAAAACTGAAAAATAGCCCAAAAGCCTTTACTAAGTAGCCCATGTAAGTATTTCAGTTTAACATACAGACAAAGGGAGAGGAAAACACCAGCATGCTTTGATTACCTGCAAGACTAAAGCCTGCTCCAGCTGGCACTAAGCAAAGCTCCCTTCCACCACACGTGCAACACTGTGAAAGGCACTTGGACACAGAGACCCAATGAAGGTCTCTCTGGCACAGACAGCCACTGCATACTAATGACAAGCTGAGATTAAGCAACAGCACCACAAAACCTCACCCTGCAGCAGGAGCCACGTTCTAGCAGTCACCCACTATGTGAGGCTGCTGGGGAGGAGAAAGCAGAACACCATGAAGCTGTACAAAACTAGAGTAAAAGCTCTATTTATTCTTGAAGCACTAAATAGGAGTTTTTTATCGCTTCACTTTTATTCTAAAAGTGTAATTCTTCTGATTTGGAATACTGTTGAAAACTGCAGAAACACCTGTACTGTGTCCCTTACTAAAAAAACCCTGCAAGTATTATCCCTGCCAACTCCATAAAGCACTAAGAAACTGGGATATGATCAGCTTCCAAACACACCCCTTAGGCATTCCCAGCTGCATCTCCTGCCAGCACAGGGCACCAGTGGTGCAGTTTGCTGATGGAACCACCCTGATTACCCCCAGAGAGCATCGTACCATACTTGGCACCTCCGAGCTTCGACACGTTGTAAAACTTTTTCTCTGGGTGGCCTTCCAAAGCTTCAATGGCGGGCTGGTAAGGGCTTCCTGCGGGACAAAACAAACAGTTACAGCCACAAAAAAACGGGCCTTTCACCACTGACTGACGACTCACAAAAAGAGATTTTATTTCTGCTTCTGCCAGAACGTTCATTTAAACTGTAAGTATGTGCAATATGGAAAGGTTTCTAATTGGATTGAGACTCCTCGTGATGTGGATGTGTGACTAAGGAGAATTTGAAAAGCATCACTACCAGTAGGTGCATACAGGTCAGTGCAGGTCGCCAGCACAGCCTGAACACAGCTGACCTTTGTTGTCTCAGTTTGCCATCTACACACAGGATAACACACCACAGCAGCGCCGATAAAAGACACGGCTTTTAATACAGCAGGAAGCACAAAGCACTGACTGCCAAGCCAACGTCAAGGGAACCAGACACAAAAATAAACCTCGCAGCAGCCATTAGGTGCAAGGAATAAATAACCTCCGGGAGCGAGCAGACAGCGGGGCGGGGACGGGGCCGCTCTCCCCCCCCGGAGAGATCCCCGCGGCCTGGCACAGCGCCGTTCGGCAGCGCGGGGGGCGAGGCGTTGTCCCGGGCCGCGGTGTCCCGGGGAGCGGCGCGGCCCCGGCCCCGTCCCCGTCCCCGTCCCCGCAGTGACCGACCTGTCCTGGGAGGGTCCATCGCCGGCGACCATGTCAGCGAGAGGAA